TGTTGCTAGCTAAGTAGGATGTGCCACGCGGAAGTAATGTTGCGGATCACGTGAGATCTGGCTCTTTAGGTTCTTTTGTGACGTAATTTATAACGATAATACGTAGCATGTATTTAATTCCCAGAATGTCGTCTGCGTTTTTTCGATAATTTTTCTAAATTTAGGAAATATTTTATCCTAGATTTTTGCGAATGGATTTTAGGACGTTTATTTTATTATTTAAAAAAAAAAGAATTTTTGCGCGTGTTTTATGAGGAAATTGTGTTTAAATTCGTATATTTTTTTTGTTAAAAATTTACAAATTACATTTAAATACTTATATTGAGTGAACTGCGTGGTATTTTTCTCTCGATTTAGGGACAAATTTCCTTAAATTTTACAGATTTAAAAAAAACACTTTATGACTTTTAGGGAATTTCCCTCTCTTCCAATCGAAATTTTTCCTTTCAATTTGAGTAGAAATTTGATTAAGTTTTTGAGATTTTTACATTCTAACTACTATTCTTCTTCTTCCTCTTCGACAATTCAATTTTTTCAGATAGTAAAATGTTCAGCTGCTTGACTACGAATTTTCCCAAATTATATTCTGATATTACGCATTTTTAACATGAACAAAATCGTTCTCTAGCGATGGAAACTAACTTAAAGTCAAATATTTAAAAAAAAAAAAAAAATTTAGAACTCGTTCCAAATTTTGGTTTCTATTTTTGGCAGAGTTTATCCCAAAGCTATCCAATAAATCCCTACATATTTGCCAGGGTTTATTAAACTAAAATTTCAAAAAAAAAGCCCTGTTTTATGGTTAGTTATTTAGTCAAACGGGAGTGAAGAATCCCGATTTATGTCGAGTCCGGGGAAGAGAAGACGAGACGATTTGAACTGAAAAAGACGAATTTTCTTGTTTACGAAATATTTTCATGCGGTATCGAATGCAAACCGATAAAAAGCAATATCCCTATACTGGCCGGTCGGAAATGTGAACAATAGAGGAACAAAGAAAGATATTTTGTCACCAGTCACGTGACGCGACAGATGTGGTGAGACACCATCTGTTGACGCACCATATCAACACCTGGATGATCCCTTCTACCGAGAGGTCAATCGGTAGTAACATTTATTAAGCAATATACCCGAAATTACACATAAATATTACTAAAAATAGTTTGCCATTGTAACAGCAACCGACCGTTATTAAAATTAAGAAGAATTTCCCTAGATAAAAATCGAAGCGAATCCATTTTGTCAACCCCCAATTATAAACAATGGACCTTGCTGAATGGATTGAATCACAAAATCCATTATTGGCAGGGGGTGATGATAGGGAGAAACCCCTCGCGCCGTCACGTGACCGGCCAGGAGGGTCACCTGTAAGTTGAAAGAAACGAATTAATAAACTTGGGAGGCGTAGGCAGAGCGGGAGGTCTTCTCGCGCCTACGTGGCCCTGGGGGCCATTCCCTCTCTATTGAGAGAGATGGTGAATGAATCACCAAACTCCTATCGTCCTTTATAGTAGGCTTTTCCCAACGTCCTTTTGTTTTTCTTTTTATAGTATAACTATCAAGTTGTAACAATATAGTTGGATTTGTTCAATATATTGATCGCGGTTATCCGAAGCTTTTTGCTTTCCGTTCTACTTCAACCCCTACAGCATCTTCAAAAATATGTTTGCTTCTTTTATATATTTACATTTATATGTATATTTATATAAGCTACTCCACCTCCTTTTTATTCGTTTCAAGACCATGAGTTGTCTTCATAACACAAACTTACACCAGTATCAATTCTCCAATGTACACAAAAAACAGAGAAAAAAATCGCGAGTGCGAGTCTCAATTCTGCATGAAGAATCGCTTTTAAAGCATTTTCAACTTAAATTTCTACGAATTTCTTACATTTTCTTATTAAAAACAAAGGCTTTGGTTACTGTAACAACTTTCAAGACCACAGGAAATTAGAAGAAGCTCAAGAGGAGTGATGCTGCTGAGCATTAGAGCTGAGATTACACGATATCATATATAAGCGTTAAGAAGTATATATAAAGACAAAAATGATCTTCAAAGAAATAATAAATTTGTTTAAGGAAGATTTAAGTGGCTTGGCAAAGAAAGCATATAGGGGCATCACTACAATATACGCGAATTTCATCAGCATCAATCATAGAAAACATCCCGTTGTTCTGCAAGAAAGAAAAAGATAAAAAAAACGGAGGATGGAGGAGGAGGAGAACGACAAGAAGAGTCAATAAACGACAAAGGTTTAAATCCGAGACGAAAACGTAACGTAGACGCAACGATAAGAACGTAAGGTATTGGTGCATCGACCGTTTTCTCTCTTCAAGTTACCATAGAAACCGCATCCAGATAGCCGGAGGCAAATTTCAGTATCTGTGTTGTTTGTGTATGGGGCGGGGTTGTAGGTGCCCCAAGGCATGATGGACAACCATGGAGGTAAATAGAAGGAAGATTACCAGTTTGACTAGAGTGCGGTCACTTCTGTTCTTATCTCGTCAGACCGTAGCCAATTCTGAATCAATGTATGAGGCATGAAGATGAAGGAATGGAGTTACTCTCCAGATTACTTCCTCCTCGCAGAAGGAAGTAATCTCGAAAGGAGAAATGTAGAAAATTCGACGACGTTTTCTAGAAAGAAGGAGAAAATATATATATAGAAAGACGTTCGAATCCGAAATATATATAGGTATAAAATATTTGGGTTTTTTAGGAAGGGGAACAACGTAGGAAAAGCGATTTCTATGGGTAAAATGTCGTTAAAAAATGTATGAATGATGCTAAAGATCTAAAATAAACCATACGAACCGGTTTATGGCATCTGTACAACAATAAAATATGACACGTTATGTACTGTAACGTAACAAATTTCGGAGATTTCTTCATTTTTCTTGTTGTTTATCTTACTTTTATGTACAGTACATCTATGTTAAAATAAAAGCAAATTTAACCTATATTTTAAACACTCTTAATTAACTTTTGAAGGAAAAAAGTTGGGGTATGAAGATATAGGCATTAAATACATAAACGTATGTTTTAGGGTGGGAATAAAATGCTTTTAAACATCAAACAATGTTTTAAAATATGCTGAAATCATCAAAAGTTCAACACTACAATATTTTTGGTTTCTATGATACTGTAACGAGCCACTTTAGGAACATTTATTTTCCAATCTTTCTCCCGTTTTTTTAACTTTCAAAGCTGCAAGTTAAACTTGTTTTACGCAAAATTTCATGTAAATACTTTTAAAAAATTAATTTTTGTGGGGAATTTCTGAAAGAATGTATTAAGAATTCTAAAGATTTAAAAAAACAACAACAACAAAAACTATGGAAGGGGATCTTGTAACTTTTTTAAAGAATATTTTTCTTTGATAGTATAGTCTATCGATAAGTCGAAATATACTGATTAAGTTTTCACAACTTAAATAATATCATAAATTTCAATAACCAATAAAGAAAAGATTTGTTACGCATGGTGTAACCTGTTGTTTACACGTCACGCTTACATCTAGAGTGGATAAAACTGACAAGTAGTCAAAACAGCCATTTATCAACCTGCCCCTGTGGGTTGCTTTTTCACTACAGTCATTACGTCAAGCAGTGAAGCGGTTTCACAGGGTGGGTTATTTTTTTCCTCCTCCTCCTCCTCTTCCTTCTTCCTCCTCCGTTTTGCAAAAAGTATCGATCGCAATTTTAGCACTTTTTGTAAGTGGCACGATATCCCAAAACTAACCATTATTCACATCTTTAAAAAAAAAGAGGGAAAAAAAGGCCTTGTCGTTTCTCGGGGTTGAAGGGAGAATTTTAGTAAACTATACCATTCACAGCATTTCTATTCCAATCTTTCCATGTAGAAATTGGTGCCAAAATATCGCCAGAGGGGTCGAATTTTGCGAATCTCTCGAGAAAACTATCCGAAATGATCGTTGACAAATTGAATTTTAAATCGTTACCAGAAGTCTGAACGATGGCATTGAATACACAACAATCAATCATGGGATTCCTGCTCTTTCCCCTGCTGGCGATCTTCACCTCAACACGTCTAACAAAGCGAATGCGTCCGGGTTGACAACTTTTGACAAGAGGAATTCCCACATGACACTCGAAATTAACCGTGTTACAAGTTGCACACGATAGCACGAGCTGAATAACTAATTTTCGAACGTGTTACGCCGCTATTACTACAGTAATAATTTGAGAAAGGCAATAATTTTTAACGCGTGTGGACGTGGCTCGGCTCTTCTTTAATGTGATTTACATCAATGGAAAGTTGCTAGTGAAGCTTACCCATAATCCAAGCTAGAATAAGCCCGAAAATAATTTAGTCACAGATTCTATTCCCCCAAAATATGCATAATTCATGGTTGAATTCCCATTGCAATACTGATTTACCGATTGATATTTCCTTTCGAGTACTAGGACCTTCGCGGAATTTCGGTACAGTGAATCACAGCAATCCCTTAATTCATTGCCGTAACAATACGAACTTCGTAACTAATTTTCAGACTTGTTACGGTTAATAACACAGAGAATTTAACAAATTTTGCGAAAGACAAAGACCATTCATCACTTTTTTATTGTAATTTACATAGATAGTATATTGTTTTCTCATAACCCATTGTCACATTAGAATCTGCAAATAATTTAGTCACGGATCCTTCCCCCAAATAGGCATAATTCATGGCTAAATTCCCATTGCTGATACCGGACGGAACATTATTGATATTTTCCTCCATACAGGCAGACCACATGAGATTTAGGACAGCGTCAAACCTTTAAGCAAACCCCTAACTCCCTTCCCCTAATTGATCATAATTCGTGCCATTAATCACCCTTAAATATCACCGAGTGGTGCCTCTTGAAGCGGTCGACACGATGTAAATCTCTGTTTAAAACTAACCCCCGGATCAAACTGAACTTAACACGATCAGTGATGTAAGCTCTTAAACGTTTTAACACTTACAAATAAAGTTAGAGTAAGTAACTCACCTGCAGATTTAGGGGATAATTTGTCTCTCTGAGCGGCACAAACTGCGAGCAGTCGATAGCCCAAATCGAGATCGAACCCGCGTTGTGTGGCTACACGACTAACGACCTGAAAAAAATAAAATATAAATAAATAAATGAATAATTTCATTTACACGCCCCTCAAAACGGGGATAAAACTAGTTTTTTTTCAGTAAATTGTTGAATTCGAATTCCGAATTAGAGTAGGTTTACTCGAAAATTGGATAACAAAGTCTCCTTTTCGTTAATATATGAACGCTTTCAGTCTGATTCCCTAAAAGAGTTATCCAACGAGTTGATACCGCTTTTACGTTCACTTTCAGTAGTCATTGAAGATTAACTTTCCACCGAAAATCCGGTGAGATATTATGAATCTCTTTCCTTCCATCAACGTAATTGCTGCACCCGTTCTAACTGCAACGACTGCCACCAATTAGAAGATTTGGTAGTCAAAGGGGTCCCTAGGGAAGCAAGGGGGGAATCGACCCCTTTTAGGTGTGGCCCGTCATCAGAATGGCTTGCCAACACAACTAATCCGTCCTTCTCACTGAGTAATTACTATGTCTGTAATTAAATGAGCTAATGTTACTTACGGATGGGAAAGTTTTGTTATACGTTACACAATGGAATCTCCCACTTCCTATTTATTTCCGAAGATACAACCCTTCTTCCCCTTTCTTTCCGGAACCCCTTTAGACAACGAGTTGATTCGTTAGATTGTTGCCATGTTTCGAGAATAATTGAAACGAATTTAGCTCTGTGTGATGTAACTTGTGACTATTGTTTACGTAATAGTTTATACCCGAATAAAATGGGGCTAGATAGAAGAGGAAGATGATCATTACGATTCTATCTACGAAAATTTCCCATTATAACATAACATTTATAAGTATAAACTCGATACTTATAAATCAATCTTTGGTTTGTTTTATAATAAAATTCTCCATTTTAATCCACGTTTTCATTTGTAAAATGCCACGTGTTTTATATATTTAATCAGTTTCATTATTGATGAACACCTTGCTGAGGTAACAATCAATTTCACTAACAAAACAAAACACGTGTCGTGTTTCTATTCAATTTCAAACGTCATAAAAACTCGATCGAATTGTCGAATTTCATTCGAAAGTAATTGTTATAATTTTCGCTTAGAAAATAGCACGTGTTTTAAATTTGTCTATTTCACTTTTTAAAAATACCACGTGTTACGATTTTTGTCAATTTCGTATTCAAAGTAGCACGTGTTTATAAATTTGTCGATTTTATTTGTTTATTTTTAAATAACACGTGTTACTTTTTTCTTTACGTATTTCATTTCAAAATAGAACGTCCTTGAGATTGCTCATTAAAAAACGATCATGTGCTAATATTTCTATTAATTTTGCTTACAAAAGGAATCACGTGTTGCCTTTTTATTTTATTTTATTTTATTTTCGATGAACTGTCACTACTTTTATATTGCATTTTTGTGAATTTCGTCTACAATATTAATAGTTTTAAATTAATTTTAAGCGTAGCAATTGTAATTTTGATTTTAATTTTTCCAGCTGAATAATGGCATCTTGTTTCCTATTTAAATTAGTTCTATTTTAATTAAGGGCAATCGTTTTTCAAAATTTCATTCGTTTTTATAACGATAAACCCCTAAGAAATCTTATCGCTTATACTCAATAAAAGGTTATGAATTGTCACAATCTTTGTGAACTTCGTTATAAAGTTGTAATCACGTGTTGATTTCTTTATCGATTTCACCCTAACGCAAACATATGTAAGGATATTCCTTCAATTCGTCATAATGCGATGATATAATATAGTATATCCTATCAGATTCGATATAAAGCGATCATGTTGTTTTATTTGTTCATTTTCGTGGCATTATATCAATTACAATTGAAAAATGTTTGTTCTCTTGATAAAATAAACTTAACTCTCCTTTTTTTCTAACATTATTGAACTTTCTTTTTATCATTATTTTCACGAAATTTAATTCGTTCATGCGGAGAAAGTATAAAACAATCAGAAATTCTTCCTCTTTTTCTTCCTCTCGTCGTAGAAAAGAATCGGTAGATCACTTTTCCTGGTTTTTTTTATTATTTATTTATTTTTTTAGTATACGGATGAACTATCAACCTCCGCTTTGTAACACTTGACGCGTGTTTACCCGTTGACGTTGCACTTACAACGCCAACGTTCTGTTTACCGCGGTTACGTCGTTACGCTGCACTGTGCCCATTTACGACACCAAAGGGAACTATTTCGGAGGAGACTCACTACAGCTTTCGACGTCACCAACTAAACAGCACATGTTGCCAGTTAGAGGTTCAAATATCGATCGTCACGTGACAGCGCTTCCGATTCGATGATTGCAACATTCATCGTTGAGGTTTCTTCTATTTTTCTCCTTCAATAAATATTTGAAAAAAAAATTTCGGCGACAAAGATTACTAAAGCATAGAAAAACGAAGGCCAAAAAGAAAAAAAAAATCCAATTTTTTTTCTTTACTGTATAATATGCCCTTTCTTTACTACTTCACATAAATTACTGTAATATAATCTAATCTCGTACGTAAGTTTCGTTTCAGGTATATTTAGATTATCTTTACTTTATTTAATAACGAAAAGGTTTCTTAAATAATTTCAACGGGTTACTATACAAGAGTTATAATGATACATACCGTTAAACAGCCGATTAAATTGTTTTCGAATACTTTCTGAAAGGCTCGAGCGTCACCACACCACTCTAGTAATTCTCGAGCAGCACTTTGGAAACCAGAAGAAGAATTTAGGGCCTGAAAGTAAACAATTAAATTACTGTTTAAAAAGTACAATTTGGATTATTTAATTTAATTAATGGATGATTTATCATAATAACATTTTATTTATAAAAAGATAACCCATCATTCAATAAAATACTGTATATTCAAGTAAATTTTGATTCCAAACCCTTCATAATAACACCGTGCTAATGGCGCTAAATTCAATATCAGATATTCACCATTACTACTATTAATCATTCGCTCGATGTCATCCGTCATACTCCATAAGCTCTCATCATGGGCACCTATAGATATTGGTGTCTGCCATAAATTTTGACCCTTGAACCTTCACGGTTATTCTATTGGTAACGGCGCTAAATTCAAAATACTTTTCATTGTTCCTGTAGTATTTGTTCTCATCACGGAATCTTCGCAGTATTAATGAAGCTAAATTTAAATTCAACGATCCTGCATTACAGTATTTTTTTAGTTCTTCCCTCTTCTGTGAGGGCTTTGATCCCCCTGGACAACTGTCCCTCTGATCCTTACAGAAAGCTATGTTTTTAAGAATAAACTATAATCAAGATTTCAGTACAAGTATTTAAATAAAATACTCTCTTCCTTACTTTATTAAACTTTTATTAACACTAAGCGTGTATTCACACTGAATATCTAATAAAATTTTAAATTTTAAAACTAACCAATCAACGCTTGATACTAAAGCATAAAAAAACACAGCTTATTGGTTAATTTCAAATGCAATTGACGTCATACATGTCTCGAATTTTAAAATTTAATCGAATGCTAATTGTTTAAAGTTAAAAAAAAACAAATTATCGAATGAAAATTTTACTTATTAAATATGGCGTCATTTAAGAAATTTAACCAATCAGAAACAAAAAAAAAAACATATATATTTTTCACAAATTTTTATTTAATTTTAGAAAATTATCTCAAACTTTCAAAATAATCATTTATTTAAGGCATTTTAATTTTAAATTAACAAGCATTGATTTAATAAATAAACACAAATTTCAATTCTATATTTGATAAACATCAACCAATCGACAGCCGCCATGAATTTAAATTTAAATTTTACGATACGCTGATTGGTTATTTATAGCATTTGAAAATTCTTCTGAGTGTTTATTGATTAAAATTCAAATTTTTAAATTTTAGTTTATTGCTGATTGGATAAAACGTTAATATTTAAAAATAACCAACCAATAAAAGGAAGTATGACAATTTTCGTAATTTGTATCGATCATTTATGGCTATTTTTATGCTATAACATATCAAATGTTATTCAAATCAACAAATTTATTATTCGTTGGATATATTAAAGACGAAACACGAATGATTAATTAGAAAAATTGAATTATATGACCTTGCATCGCTGTAATACGGTTCTATAGAAAAGCTACAAACTTTAATAAAGAACTGCCGACTTGGGTTAACTGATACTATTGACTATCTTCATTAAGAAACATCAAATAGGAAGCAAGATTAATTAACTTGATTTGTTTTGCTAGTGTAAGGACCTCAAGGGAAAAGCAACAGTTAGGAATAAGCTTCCTGACAATTCTTATAAAACTTTGTTTATTCTTAATTAATGTTCATTGAAAAAGATTTTAAACATAGAAAATCTTTTAAAAAAATAATCCTTGAAGATTTACAGAGAATTAAAAACATATAAAAAATGAAATTTTAATAATAAATACAAATAATGCGTAATGCTTCTTTCCATTGGTTCGTCTTTCAAATGTCGATTTATACCGACCAATCAAGTCTCAGGATACTTTCTTGTTAAAAACTACGCAAAACTTCATTATTTTTTGAAATTTAAATAATTAAAAACAACAATAAGATATTATTTATATAAAATATCATTTTTTAAACTTAATATTCAATAATTTTAAATTAAAAAATATTAATTTTAAATAATTTTGACTAATTACATTTAAATTAAGTTTTTACTAGAATTTAATATACAAATAAATTATGACGTAAATGAAAAAATTCAAAATTAGCCAATAAAAGATGGGATTTTCATTAACTTCTATTTCCCAGTTAAAGAACCAATCAAAAGTTTTCATTATAATAATAATTTCTACCAATCAGATCAATTTACAAAGAAATTTCAACACGAGCCAATCAGATAAATGAAAACAAAAATTACACAAATTTTTATTTCTGTAATAAAATATTATTTTAAGTTATAAAAAAATAATAGTAATAATAATTTTCTTCTATTGGTCAGTTTTAAATTCAAATCTGTCCAATTAGAAGATGACATAATTAATAATCACAATTTGAAAAAATGGCCGCTGTTGGGAGGTAGCCACAATTGAAGTTCGGCTATAGAAGGACCATAAAGAGTTTTTAAAGCTTCTTAAACAGTTTTTTTATTAATAATGTTTTATAATCATTAAAAAATGGTAGTTAAGAGTACAGAAAAAAAAATGTTAATAGTAGTAAAATAATGACTTTAGAGAGTAAATAAATTTAAAAGCCAACGTAGAAGATTGTGTAAATTAATTTCTAAACGAATATGATTGGCAAAATCATCTAAAAACAGCAAAAATAAAAAATAAAAATCTCCAGTAACAGCACAGCATAATGTTTTCTACTTACGAAAGCCATTTTGAAAATTCTCAAGTTTATTTTCAAGCTAATATCCATTGAAAGGATTTTAAAATGAAAGAAAAAAATAAATATATTTAAAAAGCATTTAAACTGAGAGAAAAATCTTTATTAAAAAGAATTTTTTTTTAATTTTAAAGACTTTTGAATCTGAACTAAGTCTCTATTGGTTCATTTTGAAAATTACGCGACCGGCCGACCAATTAGGTTAAAGGGAACAATTATACAGTTATGGCTATTAAGCAAAAATGACTAAATCACTCTGGATTGTTTGTTTTTAATTAGTACTCATTGAAAGGATATTAAATTTGAAAATAAAATCTAAAAATAAATAAATCTGGATGTAAAAAAAGAAATATATATGTATTTTCCCCATCTTCTCATCCTACATTTAACTAAAATCGTAATGATGTAGTCGATTGGTTAATTTTTTAAAATGTAAAGTTCATTGACCAATTAAACGCTTTTATGCTTCGTTTGAATTGTAAAATATATAAATTTATTTTTTAAACGTATATTTTTTTATTATGAGAGTAAATATATTTAATTCTTTTAAATTAATAATTTGTACTCATTTTTTAGGTATTTTTGGTGCATTTTTTCATATCTTTTGATAAAATTTGAATCTACTTAAGCAACTGAGCTCAAGCTCAATTTTTTAAATAAGTTTTTGATTCTTAATGTGATTGATCTCGCGATCATTTATATTTTTAAATGATTATAATCTCATTTCTATCGATCTCAATAAGCAAATCTACAGTTTTTCAAGATCCTGATGATCTTTGAGCTAAAGATTTCCATCTTCAACTCATCTTCCAGCACAAGATTCACTTCGATAACCTTTGACCTTTCTTTAAACAAAGATTCTTATGGTTTTGACACCATAAGAATCAATTTATGCTAAAGATTACCATGATCTTTGACAATTTTTTCAGCTGAAGATTAATTCAAAGAACATCAAAAGTGTAGTAATCTTCCAGCTCAAAATTATGGTTTGGTAACCTTTGACCTATTTTTAATCTTAATTTCCACTGTTTTGGTTGTGTTTGAGGTTTTAGTATGAACTTCCATACAGTTTAGTGAACTTCAGCTCAAGTTTATTCGCAAAATGCCGAATAAACACAAGCTCAAGATCAATCTAAAGGGCATTTTTTGAATGCACTACAGACTCCGAAAGAAATAGAAGCAAATAAAAGAGATGATTTTTAGGTGAATGAATACAAATTTTTAAGTTTTTTACGAGTAAATGCTCGATTTTCTAAGAAAATTGGATCCGTTTTTTCAAGTTAAGCTCCAGTTTACAGAATATAAAAAGGAAAATACACATTTTCGATCCATCACAATATTTTAATACGGATCAAAAAACTGTCTTTAAACAAAGCAAAAGAAGTATTTTTTTTTAAATTTTATTAAATATTTTAAAATTCAAACACTTTTTTTCTACTTCCACTTCTTCGATTCGACCTCTGATATATGTCAAGTTATTGTCAGGTGTCAAGTCAGTTTTAAATTTTGCTAATCGTCATATTCTGCCATATTCAAGGAAAACGTTCGATACGCCTTTAAATATCTTAGCAACAGTTACCTAGCAACCAAAAATGGGAGTGTTTTCATCCAGATACACACACACACACACACACACACACTTAAAGGAGTAGAGAAGATTTCACATATTGAACAAGCAGCATCAAGGAGAAAAAATAAAGTAAAAATTACATATAAACAAATAATAAATAATATCAAAGCCTCCTAACAGTTAGTAGAAATTAAAGTGGGAGCAGAAAACAACGTTTCGTTCCTCTTTTTTTAAGGAGGGTGAGGTTTTTATATTTGTAAATTCTATGTTTCTATTGAGGAAAAAAAAACACTCGAAGAGTCAAATATATTAGCAGTTTATTTAAGTGATACAACATTAATCCTAACAGTTAGGGGGTTAAATATCGAAGTTGTCTAGGTAACGGTTTCTATTGTGTCAACAATAGTCGCTGTTCTCAGCACCTGTTTGCTTCGTTCCTACTATAAACCCGTTAAATATATTATCACTATGTTATACTTTTATATTTTTGTTGAAGCTTAGAAACGTAGTTAAGAAGAAAACACTACTTTTTTTCTTTCTTTCTTTCTTTTTTTTTATTTATAACTCTTTGTGTTACGTGGTTTGTTTGGTGAAGCTTCGTAGGGGTGAATATTGATTTCCATAAATGAGTAATTTTACTGGGTTTTGCTTAGTGCTGTGATGGGCATCTGTGGGCGATCAAGTTGATCAATCAACAATCACGCGATGTTGGGGATTTTTCACACCTACGCCAATCACGTGACGGTTTCAGAAAAAGGATTTTTACACTCGTTCAATGTTGCTATGTTAGGACGGCATTTATACGTTACAAATA